GAAGCTCTTTATGTGTGGACCACATTTTCTGGCCCTTTCTCTCTTGATTTTGGGCTTTCCCTAACTCCACGACATTTTTCTTTAAATTGTGGCTACTCGGACTTGAAAAAAAAAAAAGTTACTGATGCATGGGATGGTGACTTTGTTTTGTTTCCAGTACCCGATCATGACACCCAGAATACTGATACCTTTTTGGACTCAGCAGCAGTTCTTTTTTTGGAAAACATAAAAGGTTACAGATGACACTCAGCAACCTCAGGTCCATTTCCGACCTCAGGTGCTCAAGCATCTATTTCTAAAAGGGCTTCTAGGTGGGGGACAGTCAGGTGTGTCCATCTGCCCTCCCTCCTGCTTCTCCAGCCCTGGCTCCTATCACTCAGCCTCTCACCCAGGGTCCTCCCTCCGCGCTGGCCTTGTTTCAGCTCCTCATAGCTGCCAAGCCCCTTCCTGTCGCCGGCTCTTTGCCCGCGCTGTGCCCTTTGCCAAGACTGCCAGCCATCATGCCAGCTCTTATTCATCCTTTAAATTTTAGATCAGGTATTGTCCTCCTACCTTGTACTTCTCCTTCATAGCATTTCTGATGTCACACCTGCAACTAAACAATTATTGGTGTGTTGATTTGCTTAAGGTCTAGCATCCTGAAGTGTTATGGATGACTTCAAGAGGGCAGGGGTTCCCTCTTGGATCCCTGGGTGGCCTCAGTGCCTAGCACAGTATTTGAGACCCAATAAGAGATTGATACATGCTTGCTAATAAAGAAATAAATTAAGGAAGGAAGAAATGAATAAGCCTGTGGACATAGTTGTGCCGATACCCTGGGTCCTGTTCTCTCCTTCAGTGAGGAGTTTATAACCAGCCTCTTTCTCAGATGATTTAAGCTTAGCATCACGTCTGTGTTGGGCTTGTAGACAGCCAGGTCTTTGTAGCGGGGGGTCGGTGAAGCCAGGAGAGGGTGAGAAATGAAGTCGGCTACAGAGGCTGACTGCCCGGGCAGCTGCCTGGGCCCTGCGGTACGTGAGCGTGCTAAGCCAGGCACAGCGCGGTTGGGAACAGCAGCCTGAGCATGTCTGACTTGGCAGGCAGAGTACGGCAGTGGCAATTCCAGCCACCAGAAGATACTGGAAATTCAGATAATCATGGCTCTGGGCTTTCTCTCTATTCATACGTGTCCAAGCCAGGAAGTTGTAGTCCTGAGAGCAGGATTCATCTTTGGGGCTGGCAGGAGTGAGGCAGCACCTCAGGGTCAAAGCCAGGCAGTGAGCTCAGGAAAAGACACAGAGCCCTGGGCGAAGAAGTGAAGGCAGAAGCCCAGGCCTTCCCATCGACGGGCTCGTCCCTGTGGGCAAGCACAGGCAGCTCACGGGAATGCTAGAGCAGTTCACAGGTTCCAGGAGCTGGGACTCAGCCCTGGCACCTGGAGCCCGGGGGGTGGACAGAAGTTAGGGACCTACTGAAGAATACCAGCCTTTGGGTTTAATTCCTGAATATTCTACTGACTGTGTATTACAGGTACTGAAAAATGGGCTCTGTGGGAAAGACCATGCACTTCCATTTCATTACCTAATTCTTTTAATTAAAATAACTTGCATTACTGTATAAAATTTTATTCACATTGTACAAAATTAGAAAATACATCAAAGTAAAATTTAACTCGCAAAGCACCATATTCTAATCACCTACAAATAGAACTTGTATCGTATTTCCTTCCAGACCTGCAATCTTTTTGTGAGAATGAGATTTTGCTTTACCTGCTTTTTGCTACCTGCTTTTTTCAGTTAGCAGTTTCTACTTTTTCAGTTCAACAAACGTTCATTTTATCTAATATTCATTCTGTATTCAGATTTCCCCAGTTCCCCACCCCCTAAAAAAACATCTTGACAGCATTCTGTCCAAACCAGGATCCACTCCAGGGCCAGGGCTCGCATCTGGTGGTTTATGCCCCTTAAGTGTCTTCTGATTGGCGCAGGTCCCTTTTCTCCTAATACCTACCTGTTGTCCTGCCAGTCGTCCTGCAGAATATCTCACTCTCTGGATTTGTTTGGTTCCTTCCCGAGAGTACAATTTATTATTGTTTCTTTGTCTCTTATATTTCCTATAAAGTGTAGGTTACGTTAAATCTAAATGATTGGTGGATTCCTATTAAACATTTTTGGACTGGAGTACGTCCCAGTTGCACTGTATAATCTCTATTGCATCACACCAGGAGAAACATAGTATCAGGTTGACCCACCACTAGTGATGTTGAGCTTGAATGTGGGATTAGGGTCCTGGTTCTTTTAATAGGATTCCAGCAAGAAACTCTCACCAGTTTCCAGCCTGGCTCCAATCATTGCTGCTCCCTCCTCCACCCCTATCTCCAGCCAGTCCTGATCCCTCTAAACACTTTTTAAGCAAGAAAGACAAAAGGGAGGAAAGGCAGTAAAAGGCACAGCACTCAGACTGGAAAGCAGAGTCCAACGTCACGCTGATCCTGCTGCACCAGATACAGCAGGCAGGCTGCACGTCCGGGAGCTGCTCTCTCTCTAGCTGCCAGTCTTCCCAGCTGTCACTGGGGTCAGAATGCCTTGGCTCTGGTCTCTGTGCCACCACAAGGCAGTCTGCGTAAGATGAATGCTCTCACAAATAGGTTTTGAAAAAGACATAAGCTTACACAGAAAGCTGGCTCAAGCATCTTGTAAATTGATCACCTCAAAAGAAGAACTTGGATTTTTTAATTCATTGTGTAAAATCTGGGAAGAAGGAATCAAAATTATATTGTGCAATATTGAGCCTGGGAAATAGGAGACCTGCTTTGTTTGCTTTGTTTTGTTTTGTTTTTGAACAATAAGACCGTGCAGCTTTGGTCAAGTACTTTTAACACTCTGAGTTTCCACAATCCCCAGCTGTAAAATGGGAATATTCACATGTATAGTGTATAGTTGATGTGAGGATTTCACTATGTCTATAAAGCACCTTTATCACAGTGAGTGCACAGCTCTCTTCTTCCTTATCTGCTAAGGCTGAGATTTCCTGATCTGCTTCCTGCCTGCCCAGCTCTGATTCTGGGGGGGCTGGGCCTGCAGGCGGAGTTCATTAGTCATATTCGTATATTTTTTCACTAGGTGGGGGAGCGGGGTGAGGGGGGCAGGTCAGAGTAGAGGGCTCAAGGCAGGGCCTGATCACTGCCAGTGTATGAGCTAGCATTTGATTAGAATGGTACACTGCTGGGTCTTTTACAGAAACCACTGTGACGTGATTTTTTTAATCAAACCTCAGATTTTGTTGTTTTTTAGTATGTTGGGAGATTAAAGACAAGTTTTGTCACTTAGGGCCGAGGAACAGGAGTGGAGCAGTTAGTATTGGTTCCTGACACCTTATTCTACCTCTTGTGCTCCAAGCCTTGCACATGTAGGCTAGTAGTCTCATAAAATCAGTGGGAGATGGCCACCCTATAACATTGTGGGGGCTTTATTTGGCTTTTCAAAATGGTAAGTCTGAAACCCATATGTCCCTAATGAAAAAGCTGAGAAGTTAGGTAATGCTTATCATCCTAGTGAATGCAGTCCAGCCGTGCGATTTTTACAGTGGGGGAGGGGAAGAGGACTGTCATAAAAAAACATTATGAATCATCTTTATTTTTAGTGGCAAATTTGACAGTAATACAGGCTAGTAGTTGTACTGGTTATGAGTGGCTTCTGGAACCACAGAGACGTAAATTTGCATTCCAGATCCCCTACTCGCTAACTTTGTGACTCTAAGCAAAGATTAGACCCTAAGGTTCACATTGCCTCTGGGAACCTCAAGCTTTCTTTTTTTTCAGAAGTGAATTGGTTGTTGTGACCATAGCAAGGGTTCTTGTGAGTGTTAAGTTAGATGATAGATGTGAAGCGTGGCGCATAATGCATAGTAAGTATTCAAAACTTGGTTGCTGTTTTAATTATCATCATTATTATCTTTTCCAAGCAAATATGGTTTACGCGTACTTTCCCTGGAATCTGTATCACAGCTCTCACTCTCAGTGATTCATGGTTGTGAGTCAGAACTCAGACCAAGTGTTGTCATTTCTGCCCATCAGGTCTACAGCGGGAATTCTTTTCAACAGTGTTCATTAATGGGTTGGCAAGTCTGATAAAGCACCAAAGAACGGGGTTTTCATAGAAAGTATTAATATTTTTGTTTAACATAGGGATAGGATTATTTGAAGCTAAAGCCTTAGGGTGCTATCATTGTTCATTATGAAGTTTGCTACCTTTTTTTTTCTTCCCCCAAAATAGCCATACATTTTCCCTTCCAAATTGAATGGGCTGTGCTAACAGCTATCATGTGGGAGTTTCTGTTGAAGGCCACACGTAATGTGGTTAGTGTGGCTGCTGAATTTGAATTGCATCTCTTTTCTTTAGTCTACACTGGCTATTCTGCACGTAGTTAAAGGTATTTAATGTATATTAAGTTTCTCACAACTAATGGGCCTTCTGAGGTCTCAGAAGTAACATAAAGTGAAAGTAAACAAAATGCCTCATTTTTTGGTGCTGAATTTGACTCTGCATAGATCATCCACGTAGTACAAGGCATGGATGAAAATGGAAGAGTTAACGGTTTTATTCCCCTACCCCCAAACCTCTTACCTCCAGAATTTTCAAGCAGTTAAAAAAATTTTTATTGAAGTACTGTTGATTTATAATGTTGTATTATTTTCAGGTGTATACCAAAGTGATTCAGATATATCTATATCTATATCTATATCTATATCTACACACACACACACACACACTTTTTCAGATTCTTTTCCATTATGGTTTATTATAGGCATGCAGGTTTTTAAACTTAAGATTGAGTGCTCATTATCAGTAAATTTGGGTATTAAGTATCAGTTCTCCAGCCCAACTAACTGTATATTTTTCTGTGTGTTAAAATGCTGGTTTAAGGACTAGGATTTGTAGGCCAGGGAGAAATGGGTATTGAGCGCCAGAGGGACCAACTCCTACAAATAAAGATTGTTTGCCCTTTGTGCTTTTTCCTAGGCGGACTGTCAGACCCTTACTCAGAGGGCAAGATCTATGGTAAGTCATAGTCTGAGCATTAAGTACTAAGTTAGTCTAAGAATTCTTTATGACAGTCTTTCTATTAAGAATACATGATTCAAAATCTAAGAACTCCTAAATATTTGGTTGGTCAAGACTAATTGCTGATGATTTTTCGAGTCCTTTCAAGTGGCTGATTTCTACCTCCTGAAAGGGTCCCGCTGTTTAGGGTTATCAGAGAATCCCCCAAGAGAAACAGCATCTGGCTGCTGCTGCTTCCTGAGCCCAGTTCATCCCATACATGGTGTTTTCTTCCCATTCTTCCATCTCAGTTTATAACTTTGGCAGTATGTCTTACTGAAATCTTTTTCTGATAAAAAGTTTCCACTATCTGGCTTCCTAGATGTTTCATTACACCCTATCTTACCCAGTCCTCTTCGTTTTGACACCTGGCTCATTCCTCAGTCAGCCCCTGAGAGCGGAGTCTTGCTACTCCCAGTGTAGTCTGTAGACCAGCAGCCTGGGTATCACCAGGGAGCTTGCTAGAAATGCAATCTCAGGTCCTGCTCCAGACTGAGTCAGAATCTGCATCTGCACAAGATCCTCAAGTGAATCATGCAGATAAAGGTTTGAGCAGAACTGGCTTCAAGAACTATTCTTTATGCACTTCCATCGCCCCTGAGATAGACAAATAAGTAGTTTTCTGCTGTGACTTTCAACACTACTTGGGTTCCAAATCCTCAACTGAAAAGATTGATCTTGTATGTACTTTGATGCCTCTGTTCTCAGAGCCGCTTTTTTGACTCATATATTTTCATTTTACCTATGTAGATTCTATTATTTACTACACTTACGTAGCATTTGATAGTTTTCAAAGTTCCTTCACACAGCTTTTGTTATTTGATCACACATGATTTTGCAAAGTGAAACACACATGATCCTATAAAGTGGAAACGTAGGTAACAAAATCTTTTGTAGAGGCTGTAAATTTCCCTTTGTGATTTCCTAACCTTAGGGATGAAAAATGTACCAGCATTTTTTTTTTCCTACCTTAGAAAAAAGTAGAAATCAAGCCTTTTGGAGCTATCAGAAGTCTGTGAGTTATTCTGGGTAAAAATGTATCATGATTCAAAAATTATGTTTTATTGCTCAGTATGATCAGGGTTATATTTTCATTCATAAACCTTGCCTTCTTAATTAGGATAAAGTAATTAGGCCTAAAATAAACTCTTTATCTTTCTGACAAGAATTTTAAAATAAACGAGTCAATGAGGAATCAGCCCTCCACTTCTGGTATCATAGCCTAAGGTGAGAGGGACCACTGGCACTGCTTCTCCCTGGAGGGGCAAGAGTCAAAGAAAAGGACAAGGCCCAACACTGGATATTGCCTTGAGCCCCTGTGCAACTTTCCTTCTCCCGGAGAAGGTTTACATGGGGGAGCTCACCACTGCATCATGGCCCGGGAGGAACTATTGGGTTTGCATCCCCTGCAGGTACGTCTATACTGGGGGAAACACTTCCAGACCCTAAGAGTGCTACACCCCGGAGTTCAGAGTGACTGGGTAAACAGACATTGCAGGTGGATTAGGTGCCATTTTTATCTTTTCTCTTTTGCCCAATCAACATGTACACTTATTCTCAAGAACCTAATGTTAGAGAAAGCTTAACTGTGATTAACAGTGTGGGTGAGCTTGAGAGAGTTGGAATGTTGATGAGGTCAGCTCGTAGAAAGCGTTCTTCCACAGCCCTCTGTTCCAAAGAAGCTGAGACCCAGAGAAGCCTGTACTTGCTCCCATGTGCTCTGCCTCCTCTGCTCTTACGAGGAAGGAAAATCTTCATCCTCTTTGAGGCTAGTACCTCCTCAAGGACCTTGCTATGAAATCACCCCCTCCCTCCTGCACCATTCCCATCCACATGCAAACATGCCTTAATATTGGCCCCCTGGAATTTTTTAAAAAGCTCCAGTGACTGCCTCCTCATCCTCTTCCAACTCTTTCCCCGTTTCTTGCTTTCTCTCACAGAGAACTCCTCAAAGGAGTTGGCTGTAGGTACTGACTCCACTTTCTTCCCTCCCAGCCTCTCATTAACCCTCAACTACTGGAGTTACCTTTGCGCTATTTCATAAAACAGCTTTTTACTCAAATTTCCGAAAACTTCTATTTTGCTCCTCCAATGAAGAATTATTCTTTCTCATCTTACTCTTCTTCAGCAGCATGTAACACATCCAGCCACTCTTCTGTGTCTTTTGAAATACTTTCTCCTTCTGCTTCCATGATAGCACACTCTCCTGGTTCCTCCTCTCTCCTTTATCTCCTCCTCCTCCTCCTCTGCCCAGTCTCTAACATTTAGAATCTGAATATTGGAGAGTCCCATGATGCATTTTTTTCCTTTCTGTACTCTCCTAGGTGGTATCATGTGGTCCCATAGTTTTAAAGCCCATGAATATGCCATTAACTCCTGCATTTTTATCTCTGACCCTGATTGCTCTATCTTTCTCCAGACTTGTTTGTTCAACTTTCCATCCCACCAAACCTGCTCTTGGCTCCCTCTCTTCCAGTCTCTAAGAAGGACTCTAAATTTACCATCTCCAATGCATCACTTCATTCAAGCCACTGTCCTTCCTCATTTAGATACTTAAAATAGCCACTTAACTGGTTTTTAAGCCTTAGCCATGGCTCTACTATGGTCCACTCTCAACAGAAGAGTGTAACGGCAAATTATATTCCTGGAGTCACATGGTGAGCTGAACAAATAACCAACTGCTGTGTAAAATTTCAAAGCACAAATACTACGATTTAATATTACCTTTTCCCTTTAAGCATGCTTTATTTAATGTGCTAATTTAGTCAGTTTTAGTTTATTTGGTACTAAATGTAGGAATCACAAGACCAAATACAGTTGACACTTAAACAAGGTAGGGATTACGGGCACCTACCTTCTGGCAGTCAAAAATCTGCCTATAATTTCTGGTTGGCCCTCCCTAACTACAGTTCCTCTATATGCTGTTTTCCATATCTGTGGATTCAGCCAACCACAGATCATGAAGTGTTGTAGTATTTACTACTGAAAAAAAAAATCTGCAGTAAGTAGACTCTCACAGTTCAAACATGCGCTGTATAGGGGATCAACTGTATTACATTAGCCTTGTGGACAGTGTGCTATTTTGGATATTGGCTATTTTGACTTTACTCTTTTGACCACCACATTTTGATTCTGACATTTTGACTCAATTTAAAACTGAGGTTATTTTGACTGTTTCTAAATACCAATATTTAAATCAGATTTATATCAACATCAGTGAATTTGGGGGAGTAAAGTGTTTTTTGTTTTTTGGTTTTTTTGAGAGGAAGGATGATAAATTCTATTGCTTAATTTGATTTCTTATTTTTTTGGATAGTCATGTTAAATTATTTATGGTTTTGTCCTTATTTATCCTACTAAACTTATTTTAATTGGACTATAACATTTTGTGTCAGTTTTAAAATAAAGATTTGATTAATTATTTATACTTTATCTACATCAAGTTTCATCAACTACAGATGTTTCATTAAGTATTTTTGTGGTCATTATCTCTACTCAATCCAGCTTGTCCATATCAAATATTATAAAATGATATGATTCTTATATGAATCTTTGGTCAATAAATACTGCTCTGAGAACTTTTAGCTAGTGTCAATTCTATTTTCTATTAATTATTTCTCTAAAGGGTTAATTTTTACAGTTTTCAGAGTTACTAACAATATTTGATTCTCCAACCTATTTTTTATTAAAAAAGAAAAAAAAATTACTTCACTATATATATATATATATATATATATATATGTATGTATGTGTGTGTGTGTGTGTGTGTGTATCTTTAGCATTGTTTTATTTTTCAGGATAATTTCTGCCTAGGCTAATTTTACTTGAGTCAAATTGTATTTTTTGTTAAATGTCCTCTGTCAAAATGCCAAGGTTAAAATATTCAGCTATAATTTTAATTGCTCTTTTTTTTTCCTCAGGCAGGATATCACAGTTAGCTAGAGCTATAACAATGGAAAATTATTGCTAAAACAGGTTTGACTTCAAATAGAAATTCCAGAAAGCCTAGAGGCATCTTGGGGGAGCAAATGTAAATTTAAGGGAAAGGGACATATTTCTTCTTGAGGCAAAACATGTAAAGTTGACTTCTGATACCCTGGGAGAGAGCTCTCTCCTTACGTTGGAGCTTTTATTTCCCCTGGAAATCCAAGCTGGCTTCCTCTCTCTCCATAACACTGCCTGCCTCTTGGCACAAAATGTTGCAATCAGCTATTCCACATCTATGTTAACAAGAGTCTTCTGAAGCAGGAACTGATTGAAATATGTGATCTTCTTACATTATTAAATAGGACACCCTTTATTTTAGTTTTTGGTAGCTTGGTTTAAGTAACTGAAATGTGTATGTCTCTCATTATTAACTCTTGAAATGGTTTGGACTTTGCCTGCCTGCTCTTCTAAACTATTAAACGTAGATAAAGTTGGATATTCTGTAATGGAGTTTATTTTATTTTCCAATTTTTTTTTTTTATTTTCTTGAGAATCGGGAAGGCTGAATTTTATGCACAATAGAAAGCTATCTGGGTCTTTGGGGGAGTTGCTGTGACAACAACAACAATAATATTTACATAGCACTTACTCTGTGTTGGACACTATTCTAAATGCATTATGTATGCTAATTTACTTAATCTCTCCAACTACTCTTTTTTTGGGGGGGGAAGGTAATTAGATTTGTTTGTTTATTTGTGTATTAATGGAAGTATTGGGGATTGAACCCAGGTCCTCCTGCATGTACCACTGAGCTATACCTTCCTCCCCTACCCAACTACTCTTTGAGGTTGGTTTTATTTTCCCCATTTTATAGGTGAGAAAACTGAGGCATCAAGACGTTAAGTAACTTGTGTAAACAAGCACAGTAAAGATCTAACAGAAACTGCATAGAGTTTTCTGCTTTAAAAAGAGTTTGTACCTTTTTTTTAAATTAAAAACAAACTCTTGATTTCCCTGCCTTGAGAAATGGG